ATCTATCATCTATCTATCCATCCATCCATCTATCTATCATCCATCTATCATCTATCTATCCATCCATCCATCATCCATCAATCCATCCATCCATCGATCTATCTATCCATCCAGCCATCATCTATCTATCAATCCATCCATCCATCCATCCATCAATCCATCGATCTATCATCCATCATCTATCCATCCATCCATCCATCCGTCCGTCCGTCTATCTATCTCTCTGTCTATCTATCAATCCATCCATCATCTATCCATCCATCCATCCATCCGTCCGTCCGTCTATCTATCTCTCTGTCTATCTATCAATCCATCCATCATCTATCCATCCATCCATCCATCCGTCCGTCCGTCTATCTATCTCTCTGTCTATCTATCAATCCATCCATCATCTATCCATCCATCCATCCATCCGTCCGTCCGTCTATCTATCTCTCTGTCTATCTATCAATCCATCCATCATCTATCCATCCATCCATCTATCATCTATCTATCCATTCATCCATCATCTATCTATCCATCCATCATCTATCTATCCATCCATCATCTATCCATCCAGCCATCTATCTATCCATCCATCCATCCATCGATCTATTTATCCATCCATCCATCCATCCATCCATCCATCTATTCAGATAAATAAAACAGACACGTTTGTCCAGTCAGCATAATTTATTCTGAATTAGAACATGAACTGAAGGCACATTATTTTTCATTAGCATGAGAATTAATGCATATTTTAGGTCACACGTTTGGAATGCATTCTGATTACTTTCACAGAAACACATCAATAAAATCCTATGTTTATAAAATCCAACTGCTGTTTCCTGGCCCAACATGGGTCAGCTATGCCTTACTGTTCACAAAGTCAAATAAACACTAGATCAAGGTTTGGCTGCAAGATGGTATCGTTTAGATATATGGCATTACAGTATATCTAAAACATGTCTTAATAAAGAGTCAAGAACCACAGGCACAAATTATATTTTTGACAGTCAAACCTCTTCAAGACTGTTACTCTCACACATAATGTGTGGTGAAGGCAAAACACACGTAAACTCTAAAAAGCTTGCATACTACAAGTTAAGCCACTCTAGTTCTCTGGTCTGCTGTGAAAAACAAGAGTTTTGAATTACATTTGAAAACAATGCTGGAAAGTGAACCTTTGCTTTATACGATATCTGTTACATGGCGGTCTGCAGTATAATTTTAGATGTCCTGTCACCTTGATCTCATATATATATTGAATATCCTGAATATTTCACCTCTGTTGTCAGTCTTTACAGATTTGTGAGAACGTCTTGAGGTAGGAGAGCAGAAGGTGAAGAGGAACAGAAAAACAAGCACGCTGAATCGTCTTTAAGGCATGGACTGATCAGCTTTTAAGAGGCTCTGGCTAGATCCGTTGACCTTCTTCACATCATTTACAACATTCAACTCATGTTAAAGAAGTAAACATTGTATTTGAGTGATCTGGCTCTTTGGTGACGCTCGCTTGGGTGAAACAACACTGTGCAGTTTTTAAATGCACAGCATGTCGTGTGGTGTTGATTTCAGAGATTGAGGCATACAGTTATTGTTTATGTCACTGTTCTTGTGCTATACTGTTACAGCAGGGTGTAATTATATGCAAATGACTTAATGTAAACAAGTAGAATTAAAAACAAAAATAGATCATATGGTGTATTTTAATATAGGCACTTAAAATAATCTCTAACCCTGGATTACTACCAAATGTGAAAGTGCATGTATCATATGTACCACTAGTACTTATCAAAAGTTATTAGGATTTGAAAATGTTTTTAAAGAAATCGCTTCTGCTCATCAAGGCTGCATTTGATCAAAAATACAGTAATATTGTGAAATATTACAATATGAAGTAACGATATTTGAATATATTGTAAAATGTAATTTATTTCTGCTGAATTTTCAGCATCATTCCTCCAGTCTTCAGTGTCACATGATCATTCAGAAATTATTCTAATATGCTGATTTGCTGCTTAAATTAATATTAATATTATTTAACAATATTACTGTTTTTACTGTATTTTTAAGTATATAAATGCAGCCTTGGTGAGCAGAAAAGTCTTCATTAAAACATGTAAAAATCTTAATATTTCCAATCTTTTGACAATTACTTTATAGATAGGGTATAAAACACATTTATATCTTATAATTAAAAGCTTTGGTGATTTAGGTTAATATTCATAGGTTAATATCTTAGGCTCCAGGCTAAGATTTTTCTAAAACACATTCTTTTTCTTAAGTTTTACAGTGTTCAAATTAGGCCCTCAGCACTTAGTATATAATCACATGTTAGGAAAACAAAATTAAAATGCATACAATTGAAAAGTATAATATTTGCTGGTAAATTGCACTTTAGAAAATAATATTGTTAAAACTAGAATTCAATTTTCTATGATACCTAATGTTTAAAAAAATAAAATAACATTTGAGTGAGTCTCCCTAAAGATGTAATTTTCCATAAAAAAAAAGATTTAAATTGGTCTTTGGGGTAAAAACTAGTTTTCAAGTATTTGGTGTCTTTCTCACATTAGTTGGGGAAATCTCTCTCTCTCTCTCTCTCTCTCTGTGTTGATTAAATGAGGATAATTAAGTACATTCCAGTGACTTTCTGTGTCATCTGCTGTTGGCAGATATTTTGCCTGCGGAGTAAATGCTGTAATATGCTGTCATGAAGGCCAGACTCCGCCCATCAGCATCACGCTTCCATTAATCTGTCTTCCACACCTTGTTGAGAACTTTAACCACTTCCTCGTAGATTATGAACACTATAGCCACGTCCATACACACCCGACCTAACCTGGGCACGGTGCCTTTGTAGAATCTACAGGAGAGAGAGAAATACATTTAAGTGAATACATAAGGGTGAATCACACAAAACCTTTCATTATGCATTACAGTAATGAGAATTTGGTTAGAGTATGTGCTTAACTGTCACGAAAGCAGTGTCAAAAATGTGTATGTCTTTATGAAAAATAGAATTTCGTAATTTGTTCTTTTGATTTGGGGGTAAATTGTGAGTCCAGATGTTTTCACGAACAGTTAATTTTTTTTACAAACTAATCAAGTTGAGGTTGAAGTTCTAAAATGAGTAAAACTGAAATAAAGAAAATTAAAGCTAGAAAAAAAATTATATATATATGCGTGTATATAAACTAATACAAATTATAAAAGCACACACAATTACTAAAATGTTAACTAAAATAAAATGTGAATGAAAATTGTCATGAAAATAATAAAAAATGTAAAGGTCTTAGAAAAACTGTTTTTATGAAAAATATAACATCTTATTTTAATGACAAACATTTCATTTGAATTTTAGTTTAAATTTGAGAAATATTGTTATGTGCTTTTGTCATTTTTATTACATGCTTGCTTATGTAGCTGGTCCTTATTTAAAATTAAAACTATTATTGATTGTTTTCTGTAATTGAAACATTACATACAAGTATAAAACTTAAAATAAAATAAAATGAGAATTTTGTCATTTAAACTAATGGCAAAAATTCATAATGGTCTTGGAAATAGGGTTTTTATATATATATATATAAAATATTTTAGATTTTGGGGTAAATTATGACCGCAGATGTTTTCATGAGATTGAGCCATGTAGTTACTAAAACAAACTACAATTCAAAAGAAAACTGAAAATATTAAAATGAATCTGAAATAATAATAAATAATATAATAAGATTAAAATAACATTGCTTCATGCCAACATCATTTTAAAAACTGTGCGCTTAACAAAATAATTTTGTAAAACATTTCTGGGTGGTTTCATAATAAAAACTATATTAGTAAATATATACTATAATAACTATTATGAGAAAGTCAAAATAAAACGTACAAAGCAACCAAAAGTGTATCTAAAAGTAAATCTAAAATGTTAAACTAGAAAAGGTTTTAAATCAGTTTCCATTTTAATTAAAGTTTTAGTAAATATGTTGTTTTTATCATTTTTTGTAGTTTTTTTAAATTCTATATAGCTTTATTAATGACTATTTCAGTTTTAGTGAGTTTAACATTAAGTTAAAGTAAATTAAACAGAGAAATGTTGCTTTTTGCAACTAGCTGATATATATACTGTATATATATTTTTTCTATCTGTCTGTCTGTCTGTCTGTCTGTCTATCCGTCTGTCCGTCTGTCCGTCTATCTGTCTATCTGTCTGTCTGTCTATCCATCTATCCGTCTGTCTGTCTGTCTATCCATCTATCCATCCTCCATCCATCCATCTAATTTTTATTAATATTTTAATTCTTTGAATTAATTTTAGTTTAGTTTAAGTTACTTTAGTACATCAATGTAAACTGAAACTAAATGAAAATTAGAAAAATAGGTGAAAAAATTTTTTTTTTTTCTATATTTTTTTGTTAAAGTTTATTTTACCTCAAGTAACAATTTTTTTTGTATGTTTTTACCATTTCTTATCTGTAGTATACTTATATCAACACACACACACACACACACACATATATATATATATATATATATATATATATACATATACATTTATCTATTTCTTTATTTTTTCCAGAGACTGAGCTGAATTACATTTTACATATGTCAGGTTCCAATATTTTTAATTAATAGATATAATCGGCCTATTAGTTTACAGATTTCTCCACTAAAATCCTTGACTGACTGATATGTCATGAAGGCTAGTGATTTATAGATTATACGCTAAAAAAACAGCAGAGCAAAACTAGAGACCGAGGGCATGTGTGCCAGAATAAGCTGCACTGAGCACCAGACTCCACACTGACAGCCAAAGGTTGTGCGTGGCTTATCCCAGCGGGTCAGGAAATGCTCACCTCACCGCGGCTTTGGGAATTGAGCCATAGACCAGAGAGCTCAGACCGCGGTACAGACCCTTCACGCCATGATCATGCACCGTCTGCTTCACACAGTCAACTGACGAGACAGTACAGAAGAATTACATCAGTATTAATACTCCAAAACAGAGCTATTCGCATTCTAATCTGAGCCTGAGGCATTTAACATTCATTTCCTTTTCAGATTGTTCTGATATCTTGCAGCTGAGTAAATCATTCATGGTTCAAGTGAACATAACCAGACTGTTGAAACGTGACACTGCTGGTTGCAAGCGTGCGATTGGCTAACAAACAAACAAACTGGGTTGAACAATCCGTGCTGATAAACTTGTTGTGAAAAGGGGCCACAAAGTCCAGCGGCTGATAAACCCGAACCCTAGAGCTTGTGCATCAGTTACTGTACTTTGAACCTTCAACCCGGAGTGGACTCTGTCTCTCTGCCAGTGAACCATGTGTTTTTACACACAATGATTAAATGAAAGTGTTTAGAAAGCTCTTGGGACATGGCATATGCAATAATAATGCAATCAATTGTTGAGTGCTTACTTAAGATAATAACGAAGTAATTTGAGCAAATACACACCGATGCCTTTGTAGCGAGGCGGGTTTGCCTTCTCATCTAACTGTATCTGAGTTTTCACATACTCTGTAGGAAATGTGATGCAGATTTCAATGCCTCCAGCAATCCCACCTGCAAAACACAGTGAATTTATTAATTGTGATATTAATGATATAAGCCACAAATCAGGATTATAAAAAAATAAAAAAAGAAAACCTTTTTTGTTTCTTAACCGTTAACTGAATCAAATCAAATCAAATATAAAAACACAAACTTATTTTAATTCAGTTTAACTTGATAAAACTAAAATAAAAAATAATAAAAACTATATAGGCGCTAAAAAAATAACTAAAACTTTAACACAAATTACAATAAAATATAGAGATAAAAAGCAATTCAAACTATTAAAAAAACTAGAATAGTATCTCACTGACACTAAAATAACACTTCTGTTAAATAAATATAACAGAAGCAAAATGTTATCATATTTAAAGAAATTTTTGTTAAAAATAACACTTTGCAAAAGAACAAAAGAAAACAAATTCTATTTATATATCAGAACTATTGTCAGAATGATAAGGTGTTTGGGATAGTTTTTAGCGCATTGCTAAATGTCTTTAAAAAAAACTTTTGAATGGTATTGTATTATGAGTTTTCCCAGCAATGATCACTGTTATGAGTTATGAATGTCTCATGAAAATCACATTGATCTGTCGCCACCTTAACTGTGTGTTAAGCACATCTGTAGCTCAACAGGCGTCAGTAAAGGGGGCGTGTCTTTCTGTGATTGGCTCAGAGGATCCGCCCCCCTGCTCTGAGATGGGTGTGACTGTGAAACAAACGTCCTGCTCTTTAATCAGATCTCAACTTTGTTGACACATTTACAATTCTTCTACTGTGTGCCATGTGTGCAGAGAAGCTTCAGGTGATCAATCAAATTAATCCGATTCAACAAGCAGACATTATTATAAGCTGTATACAATCCAGAAGAAAATATTGCTCTGAGGTTGCTCTTTCATAGCTAATGAAGCAATTTTTCATTTAATTATCAACTTTGTCGGAGGTGTTTCTACTCAAATAAACACAAATGAGTCAATAGTTGTCATATAGTAAGAGTACAGAGCCATAACCCCCTGCTCTGAGATGGGTGTGACTGTGAAACAAACGTCCTGCTCTTTAATCAGATCTCAACTTTGTTGACACATTTACAATTCTTCTACTGTGTGCCATGTGTGCAGAGAAGCTTCAGGTGATCAATCAAATTAATCCGATTCAACAAGCAGACATTATTATAAGCTGTATACAATCCAGAAGAAAATATTGCTCTGAGGTTGCTCTTTCATAGCTAATGAAGCAATTTTTCATTTAATTATCAACTTTGTCGGAGGTGTTTCTACTCAAATAAACACAAATGAGTCAATAGTTGTCATATAGTAAGAGTACAGAGCCATAAAATGATTGTACATGTCAGAGAAATGTTTACTGAGATCTCTTGACATTTGATCTGAGCACAGTTGGTGCATACACTACAATTCCTCTGAATTGTTCCTGTTAATGGTCTCCTCTTCAGTTTAATGATGTTCTGTCATCATTGATGATTCCTGGAACAATCCTGCGTACTCTCAGGAAACTTGGGGGTTTGTGTTAAAGGGGTCATATAATGCTATTTAAATTTTTCCTTTCTCTTTGGAGTGTTACAAGCTCTTGGTGCATAAAGAAGATCTGTAAAGTTGCAAAGACTAAAGTCTCCAATCCAAAGAGATATTCTTTATAAAAGTTAAGAGTCAACCACGCCTACCTAAACCGCTTCGTTCTAACACGCCCCCACATATCTTCGTCACTGTGTGGGAAGATTTGCATAACGCCGCCCAAATGTTCACGCAAAGAAAGAAGGCGTAACTTTTATTCTCGCTGTAGTATTGTTGTTGCTGCCGCCATGTTAAACACATTTCATTACACCAAATACACAAAATAATGTTATTTTTAGCAGCATCATATGACCCCTTTAATATATACAAATATTTTTCTTTATAAAATCATTATACCTGTTTAACAGGTTTTAACATAACTGACGAACATTAATGTGTCTTATAACAGGTGTTAACCTGTTCGACCTGCTAGTCTCCCTGAGCCACAAAAACTGTCCCGAGGGAGAGTAGAGGAGCTAAAACCATCCCGAAATCATCATGTATGTCCACATATGAATAATGTGTACATAAATCAAATATTTTCAAATATAAATAAATAAATATTATTAGATTTAAAAACAAATATAAATATTAGATATAAAAAGTTTGGGTCTGTACATTTTTTAAATGTTTTTAAAACATTTATGCTCACTACGGCCTGGTGTCTCTTCTAATGTATTTTAAAATGTAATGTCACATGCCACATGATCCTTTAGAAATCATACTAATATGCTGATTTGCTGCTCAAGAAATGTTTATTATTATTATTATTATTATCAATGTTAAAAATGTGTTTTGCTGCTTCTTATTTTTGTGGAAACTGTGATACATTTTTGTCCAGGATTATTTGATGAACAGAAAGTGCAACAGAACAGCATTTATCTGAAGTAGATCAATTACTTTACTGTCACTTTTCGATCAATTTAATGCAATCTTGCTGAATAAAACTATTAATTTCTTTCAAACATCAAACAATAGTTTTAAAGGAAGTTTGGGCCGCTAATACAAGTTCCCTTCAGTAAAATAAAACTACCTTATGTATTCAGTACTATGGCAAATGTCAAATCCATTTCGCTCCTTATACAGCTGGCAAATAACACTTTATAAACTTTATTAAAAAAAAAAAACATTAGAACCTTTAAGTAAAGGAGGAATGTTTGGTCAGAATAAAGCAGCAGTCAGAATGACACACCTATTCCTGCTTTACGTCTTTAAAGTCAAACAAAGTGAGTCTATATGATGCAATCGCTGGCCTTGTGTGAGTGTTTGCGTGAGTAGTGACAGGCGTGACATCTGCTTAGCCATCCCTTCATGCTTGAGTACCAGTATGACTGGCCTTTTGCAATCAAAACGTTAGCCAAAAGGAAAGTTTTTTCAGAGATGGAGCAAGCATTTACATTATAATGAATGCTTCTGTCAAAAGCGCCGGTGCAATTTGGAATACATCGCACCATTGAAGACCAGGATCATGTCCTCTGAACATAATTAGGGTCAAATACATAAATGTGAACATCTATGAAATGCACCGTAATCCAGTGCGCACGTTCTAGATGTTAACCACATATTTCAACACTCACAAACCGTCTGCATTCCATGTTACTGTGTTAATGTGTCCATGCCACAGGCTCTGTCATCATGTCGTCATGCATCCAGCACATTATCCCTCCACTGAGCAATTACTGAGACTAGAATGAGCTTCATGCAGCACATAATTAGATATGAATGGAACTACTATGAGTTTTGCATGAACTGTCAGTGCTGTTAATCTCAGACACGTGCCCTGGCAAGACATTAACCACACTAACTAGGGACACTTCAGGGAAGGGTGGAAAATAGACAGCTTATAACTACACTTTTAAGATGACAAAGTTATCCATAGATGCCGAGGAGAGAATGAAATAAAGAAAAAGAACGTTAATGCATTACTAATGGAATGTTATCATAATTTGGAACCTGCGGTCATAAAAGGATGAAATACAAATAAGAATCAAATGAGATACAAAGTGAAAATATAATAAAAAAAGTTATGAATGAATAATCTTATTTGATCAATTTAAAACTTATTGGCTCAAAATAATAATGATTAGCAATTAAGAATGATTTAATTAGCATTCCTTTTGAATTTTTCCAACTGTTCATGAAATATTAAACGTAAATCAAAGGCACCTTATGGATAACAGCGATGAAGAAATACTTTAACAATAAAGGAAAGCGAAGAACATGTCTGGGTCATATTTCACTCCAAAAATAAAAAGAAACAAATATGAAATGATCATTTGCATACAAAAGTAAGTCTTTTTTTTTTTGCATTGTTACATTATTTTGATACCAATGAAGCACATTCTTCCCCCTCGTCACCTCAACGCAAAATAAAATCACATATTAAAATTTTAAAGTATTTATATATCATTATTTGATATTTGCTGATCAAAAAAATAAAATAATAATATTAAAGTATTACGTTTTTTTTTTAAATGCTGTAATACACTAATGAGAATTATCCTTGAGAATAACGAGAAGTAAAAAAAAATAAATGTAATCCAAAGTAAAATGTTACAATACATTACACAAACGTGCAAAAAATATAATGAACATAATAATAAAAAGTCATGAAAGAAAAAAAAAATCCTAAAAACAGATTTCGGAAAAAAAAATTTTTTTTATTTCGAGTCCACTTTAGACATTCTATTAACAGTAAGTAACTTTGCAACTACATGTCAACTAGCAGTTAGTAGAGTATTAGTAGACTGTCTGCTTAATATCTTCTAACACTTTCTCTGTCAACATTCTACTAACCCTAAACGCTGATCAAAAAAATAAAATAATAATATTAAAGTATTACGTTTTTTTTTTAAATGCTGTAATACACTAATGAGAATTATCCTTGAGAATAACGAGAAGTAAAAAAAAATAAATGTAATCCAAAGTAAAATGTTACAATACATTACACAAACGTGCAAAAAATATAATGAACATAATAATAAAAAGTCATGAAAGAAAAAAAAAATCCTAAAAACAGATGTCATTAAATAACAGAAATTTTTTTATATTATTTAAAAAAAATTTTTTATTTCGAGTCCACTTTAGACATTCTATTAACAGAAAGTAACTTTGCAACTACATGTCAACTAGCAGTTAGTAGAGTATTAGTAGACTGTCTGCTTAATATCTTCTAACACTTTCTCTGTCAACATTCTACTAACCCTAAACCTACCCGAACAGTCTACTCTGAGAGTTAGTAGACATGTAGTTGCAAATGAATGAGAATTAGTTGACATGTAGTTGACATGTAGTTACAAAGTTACTTCTAGTTAGTAGAATGTCTAAAGTGGACTATCGAAATAAAGTGTAACCAAATTTTTTTTTAAATAAATTAATAAAATGTTTTTTTTTTTAGCGTTGAGAATTAAGATGTAAAATGTGCTTAACTGTCATTAAAATAATTAAAATTAATGAATTATTTTTTGGGGGTGGGGGGGCGTTTTCCTGACACTTCTGATTGACACATTCTAGTTTTGTTACAAGCAAGTCTCGACTGCTACATTATAACACAGAAATGCTAGACTGTATCAAAGCTCTTCTGTTACTCTGCATCAGCTCCACACAGCATGCCACACACACTGAATACTCGCCTGTGCAGTGATGCTGACTACAGCCCTGTAGGGATCAAGTGAGCAGAGGACTGTAAACACTAAACAGTGTGGATGACAGTGCAAAAACCGCGCGGCACAGCTGACCTGGAGTCAGTCACGGCATTAATATTCTTACGTGGTTCATAAGCACAAAAAGACACTTACCAGCTAAAATGGCCTTTCCAGGGTGTGTGAGTTTGGCTTGTCCGGCGGGCGCAGCGGCTGATAAACAGTGCGGTCTGTGGAAAGGACTCACAAATTTCGGGTTCACTGACATTTTTCTTGTTTTAAAGCGGGGTTTGGAGACACACGCGCCTCCCGCACAGCAGAAACAGTATTTGTAGAGTAAACCGCGCTCAGAAGTGAAGTGGCGAGCTCTGTGTGATCTTTAGACAGCCTGAAGTGTCCTGCTCTCTGTCAATAGGACTCGTGCAGACTCTGTGTGAGGGTGTGTTTTTATCAGAGCGCCATATTTCTGACAAACACAACAGTCCTGTTAAGGTGGAACGGAACGGATGCGTTTCTTGAAGGTTCACTGGCATTCAGATGTGAAACGCACACGTTACAACATCATATCAGGAAAATCAGCTCAATACACCTTTACTGAAGTTGTTTCTGGAGACCTTGTAAACGAAACTACTATGCATTTTATTAGGGAAAGATTTGGGTTCATCTTAAACTTCAGGCGCTTTTAATTCACATCGATTTATTAAAAAATAAATGTGACTTTTTGTCACATCAAAACTTTTTTACAGTGTCTTCATCATTTATTGCTCAGACGTAACTTATTTTAATATTAAACTTGTTTTATTTCAGCTAGTTTCTTATTTCTCATTTTCATTTAGTTTGTCTTGATGTACTAAAATAACTTAAAAACAACATGTATTGTATGGAGGACGAAACCTGCAAAAACAATAAATAAATAAATACACAAATAAATAAATAAATGTGTGCATAAATACACGAATTCTTGTTTAAATACATAAATAAATAATTATACATGTGGTGAAAGTAGGCGAATTAGCATGTTGTGCAGAGGAAAAATAAATGCGGAGCTACATTCAGAAATAAATGTGTGCATAAATGAAAATAAATAGGATGCATTTAGCATTTCCTTAAACATTTTCCATTTGCCCACCAATTTATTTTATTTATTTGCCTACTTTAGTCACATGTTTAATTATTTCTATATGTATTTAAACAAGAATTTGTGTATTTATACACACATTTATTTATTTATTTGCATATTTATTTATTTATTTGTGTATTTATTTATTTATTGTTTTTGCAGGTTTCGTTCTCCATAGGTTTGGTCCTCCATAGTGTAATAGTATGGAGGGCGAAACCTGCAAAAACAATAAATAAATAAATACACAAATAAATAAATAAATATGCAAATAAATAAATAAATGTGTGGGCAAATGGAAAATGTTTAAGGAAATGCTAAACGCATCCTATTTATTTTCCTTTGATCACTCATTTATTTCTGAATGTAGTTCC